CCTTTAGCAGATATTTATTGAGTGCCTACTATGTGCCAGGGACTGATTAATTACTGACAATAGTGCCACAAATGATATAAAACCCCTGTCTTCTAGTGGAGTAACAGTTCATAAAGAGATAACCAACCAATAACAAAGATAACATCATACAGTAATAAGGACTGTGAAGACGTTGTCAGAACAATAATAATAACTAAAATGCATCAAGTAATTACTGTGGACAAGCACTTGCCAAGAATGTCCTTGTCCCACATTCTATGGTGCAGGCCATGGCAGACCCACCCAGATTCCCTCCTCTGGACTGAAACACTTATCCCTCCAGCTGTCTGGAGTGCTGTCTGCTGAGTTACCCCAGGGAGCTGGGGTGGTGACAGCCCTGCCCAATGACATGCACCATCCCAGGGCAGCATATATTCAACGACTTGTTGCTGCAGAGGCTGAGCCCCTTCCTCAATCAGGGACAACACCAAAGGCCGTCTCAGCACCAGAACGCCCTGTAGGATGGACCCAGGCTTCTGTTACAGCTACTGTTCAGTTCAGCTGCTTCAGCCCCATGTTTACTCACACCCTCACAGGGCTGTTGTTTCCAAAAGAACTTCCAATAAAACTCATATTTGAGCCTCAGAGACTGTTTACTAGTGAAAGCAACCCAAGACACTCTTGCAATAATTCAAGAAACTGAGGCTCAGAATGGGTGCATGACCCGGGTCACACAGTTAGGTAGCAGTGTAGCTCTTAACCCCATTCTCCTCCCTGCAGGGTGGACAATCACTTGCTATTGTTACTCAGCGGAGTGAGTGTGGTAACACATGTGTAAAAGACAATATAGCGTTATCCAGAACTTCTCTCAGAGGGTACTTATCTGACCAGAACACAGATTCTGAAAAAGTCCTAAACCTCACCAGACATTCATTCTTTCATTCAACAAATATTGATCCTCGCCTTAGTGCCAGGTACAGCCAGGGGCACTCAGGAAACAGGGCGGTCACTTCAATTTTAGATTTCAGTAAGGAGAGCTGGTCAACAAACTGATGGGCCAGTGATGCAGGGAAAACAAACAAACTGGCCTGGAGAGGGTGGAGAGCTATGGGAAAAGGGCTATTCTATCCTGGATGGTCAGAAAAAGCCCTTCGGGGAAGGTCATATTTAAGCAGAGGCCTAAAGGGAGTGAGGAAATGAGACCTGAGGAGATGGGGATGGTGGTATTGAGTAGAAAAGGTTATTTCAATCGAAAAAAAGATAGATGACATACAATCTACGTGTCAAAGACCATGAAAGACTCAGAAGAGAGGACCTCAGGAGTCCACTCAGATCTGACTTACACTCAGATCAAACAAAAGTTGCATAAATCTGTTTATGTCCCATTCCAGGGCTAACTAATGTATAATGTAACACACCCTGACCGGGGGCTAGAAAATGCAGATACTAATCTAGACTTGCAATTTAATTATGCTTCCAATGTCCCCTGTAGCAAGACATTGAGGGTAATTCCTTATCAGCTTGCCTTGCATGATTGTTGTGAGGCTCTGAGGCAGCAATGATATTGTCATGTGCCCCTTAACCAAGTAAAGTTCTGAGAAATGCATCCTTAGGCGACTTCATCATTGTGTGAACATCATAGAGTGCACTCACACACCTAGATGGTATAGCCTACTGCACACCTAAGCTATCTGGTACAGCCTATTGCTCCTAGGCAACAAGCCTGAGCAGCAGGTTACTGTACAAAGCAACCTGAGATTAAATCAAGTGCAAGAGAAAATGATACAATCAAGAGAGGCGGAAAATATAAGATGTATGAGGCTGCTGCCGGCATAACACAGCATACTGTTTTACAGCAACCATTTTCTCATAAGGAGAAAGAGTGCACTCTAAAATAACAATAAAAGGTATAGTATAGTAAATATATAAGCCAGTAACATAGTCATTTATTATCATTATCAAGTATTACGTACTGCTCGTAATTGTATGGGCTATACTTACGGTATAGATGCCTGGCAGCGCAGTAGGTTTGTTTACACCAGCTTCACCACAAACACATGAGTAATGCATTGTGCTAAGACATGACCATGGCTATGACATCACTAGGTGATGAGAATTATTCAGCTACATTATAATCTCATGGTACCATCACTGTATATGTAGTGTGTCCTTGACCAAAATGTCAGTAAGGGGCAAATGTCTGTATAAAAGGCAAGAGTTGATAGATTCTGATAATGCAGTATTTTTCAAACTTTTGACAGCATATTGGAAAAAGCAAATTATGTCTTACTATGTCTCGCTATGAAAATAGTGTTGACCTCACAGACCCCCTGAAGGGGTCTTGGGGATCAATGAATCACAGGATCAATGAATAATAGTTTGAGAATCATTGCGAACATAGAAACTGAGAAGTGCTGAGGTAGAACGGGCAGGGACTTTGGGAGGTAGACGTATGTGGACTAAAGATAAATAAAAATTTCGGCAGCAAAATTTGATGACCAGTATCCTGACCACAGGGAGAATAAGGAAAAACTATAAAAAGTAGACACATGAACTCAAAAGCATAGCAACTGGGGGCTATATTTCACAGGAGCAAATAACCATGCCTTTCAATAGTGCCATAGCGTATCACCAAAACTCAGCACTGTTCAATAAGCACTGTTCACAATAATGACCTTGAGTCATTAAAACAAGGTTAAAAATATCAAATATACCATGCTTAAGAAGGGAAGGAAGGGAAAGATTTCTCTTAGAAACAATCCCTTAGAAAAATTTCCATGGCAATTAATGAAATTTTTAAAAATTGCTTTGGGACTTTATTTAGATGTGATTAGCTCCTTTCAGATGATGGATAAACAAAGCATCTCAGTAATTAAATAAAAGCCCATGAAATTAGGTAGGATTACTTATCCCACTTTATAGATGGGCAGTAGGGCTGAGTGAGATTAATGGCATACACCAGGACGCTAAGTGCGCCAAAGGAGAAACAGAGTGAGTCAGATCTCCAGTCCCATAATTGTGCCACTCACACACCCCAACTCCTAAGGCTGCCAAGCAGACTGCCTGAACCACCTGTGAAATCAAAAACCTCAGCCTATTTGGGAATTTGAGCCCCGCCCAGAAGAGCCCAGGGATGCTGGTTGTTCAGAGTTGAAGGTGATCTCTGCCCATCAGTTTTCCTGAGCCAGGAGCCAGTGACACTGAAGAACAGATGATGATTTATAACATTGAAATAATGCAGTCAGTTTTGCTTCCTGGCCAGAGCCTCCTTGTTAGTTAGGGGCCTTTAGAGCAGGTTCCTCTGCCATGATACTCACAAGAACACAATTTCAATTACATTGCATCCTAACCTCTCTGGAAGGGAAGCAAAAATGGGCATCCAACAATCAAGATAATATATCTTAATCTACCTGACTCATCTCTTATGCCAACATGTAATTCATGGCAGTAAAACGAATTTCCACAGAGACAGTGTGGTCAGTGATCAGGCCTGGATAATTAGGTTTGGTTGGAAAACAGTGCTCAAGTTTGCAGCTAGAATTGTCCCTAGTGGTGGCACTAAGGGAGGGACTAGGGTAGCGAAGTTGGCAAAATGCCTAGACCTCCAGAAAAAAGGCCCCAGTTTCAGCAAGACCATGGACGTTCTCCTCATATGCTGCTGCAATGTCTGTCCAGTGGAGCTAGCACAGGAAGTAATTCAAGAACTGCCCCCCTACCCATATCAATTATCTGGATTAATCAAGTTAGAAAAATATCCAATTTATCCAGGTCAATGAAGAAAGAACTTTGGGATATTTGACTTGTGTTACCTTCATAATTGCCTCAGATTTCCCCTCACAATTTCTGTGTAAATATATTCTAGGAGTTGAGCTTAGGGGATCTCATGAACTTGCATCAGTGCATTTCCTTCCCTCTCCCATTTTGTCCCCTTCACCACCATCTCTTTCCTCAACATTATCACACACACAAACACCATTTTCTATCACTGGGCACAAAAATTATATTTTAGGGTCATTGTCACAAGCTTAAATGAAAGCACTTAGTTTTCAATCTCTAAGCCTAGGGTTGAGGCCCAGGGAGCTCGAACAAACTCTCCAGGAAACTCTAAGTTCTTACTACTTAGAGTGTAGTCTCTGGCCAGCAGCCCGGGATGGTCCGGGAAGTGGCTAAAAATGGCGAAATTGAAGGGACAACCCCCGGTGTGCTGAACAGCCTCCGGAGTTTAAGCAGGCTGCAGGTGATGCTTAGGCAACTTACCCTTTGAGAAGGCCTGCTCTACTGCACTTCAAAGTCTGAGAACACTTTGAGGGGCAGGGCATCTGTGTGGAGGCCCAACTCTGCCACACTATGGACTAGGTAGCTCCTGGAAGCATTCAACCTGTGAAGATGTGCATTTCCCATCTGCCAAGGGCAAGCTTAGACTAGACACTTAGTTCCTAAACTTGACTGATCAATCATCTGTGTAATTTAAGTAAATTTCTAAAAATACAGATGATTAGGCCCCTCTCCTGCAGATTCTGATTCCACAGTTTCTGAAATTCAGGCAGGCTTGGGTCCTACTGTTCTAGAACTGGGCATAGTTCCCAAATTCAAAGAGAGCTAGGTTCAAATATAGCTCTGCCACTAAGAGCCATGTAGCCTTGGGCAAGTTACTTATCTGCTTTGAGATTCAGTGTCTTCATCCTGAACATGGAAATATTATTATCAGCTCCCTGGAGTTTCGAAGATTAAATAATTTATGTAATTTATGTAAATCATTCAGCACATAAACAAAATGCATTTCATTATTTTCCCAATCTCCCTCTCATTTCCCTGAACTCTTATCACTCTATCTTACTCTGCATTTCCAACACATGGAGAAGGATCCCCTTTCAAGGCCTCTGTACTTGCTATTGTCTGGAAAGGTTTTCTTCCAGAAGGTGCTTGCTTCCTCCTTTAGGTCTCTGTTCAGAAGTGGGGCCTTTACTGACCTCCTCACATGAAATCACAGATCCCTACCATGGGCCACTCAGCCTCCTTACCTTGCCTGTTTTTATAGGAGGGCTCCACACTATCTGACATTACGTATGTACTTGTTTATTGCCTGACCCCCACCCTAGCCCCCTGCTTCCCCCTGGCCACTAGAATTTAAACTCTACAAGGGCAAGAATTTTGCTTTTTTCATTGCTGTATCTCCAGTGCTCAGAAAGTTGCTCTACACTTATTTGTTAAATTAATGAATGAATAAATAGCTTTTTCCCTTAGTCAAATAACTCTATTTTTATTACTTATTTCTTGATTTGATGGCTCTTGTCTTACCTAAGTTTTTTTTTCTGGGGAAATAAACAAATCATGGATGCTTTCTCAGGGCTTTCCAAATTAACTCCACACAGAGAGAATTCCTCTATTTATTAATAATAAATTAACTGTATATGGGGACCTGTATTTTTTTCTTTATTTACTTTTATACAGTTAATAGATGAGTAGATTCATTGGTTAAAGATTCAAACAGTGAAGAAGGGTGTTGCGTAAGATGTGAAAGTCACCACTATGCACATCTACTTCCTCCGCAGTCCCTTCCCCAGAGGAAAGCACGGCTCACAATTTGTGGTACAACTTAATATTATATTTTCTGTGCAGTTACACATACAGAAGCATGTAAATACACACATTAGTCTTTTTATTTTATGTTAACAGGATAATAATGTACTTGTTCGTCTGCCACATTTTCACAACATATCTTCCTGTGTCTGTATGGCTGTTCCTTATTCTTTGTTTTGTTTTGTTTTCTAATAAGACAATGTATTAATATGGTTGAAGGCAAAGTAAATACAAAAAGCAGTAACTTTCTTAAATAATGCCACTAATAACAGTAAAGGTAAAGGTAAAAAAGATTTTTTTTTCACAATTTCAATGAAAAAAGTTAAATGCCTAGGAATAACTTAGAAGAGGGTAGGGCTTCTATCCCCACCCCCAAGAAAACAACAACATTTTACCAAGAGATAAAAGAAAATTTTAATAAAGGTTATATACCACATTCTTAGATGGGAGATTGAATATTATAAAAATACCTACTTTTAATGGATTTATAATTCTTAGTCAATTATAATAAAAATATCAGTGAAATATTAGTGAAATTCCTTAGACTTGGCAAATTAAATGTCCTGTTCCTTATTCTTTTTGTTGGCTGTATAAAAAGATATACAATCATTTATTTAAAAGCTCCCCTCTTAATGAGCATTTAGGTTGTTTCCAATTTCTCTCAATTAAGTACACTTCCACAAACAGACTTCTACAGCTCTATTTGATCATATTATAAGAATTCCTCTAGAAAAGATTCTTAGAAATGCTCAAAATTTGATCAATGCTGCCAAATTGGTCTAAACTGAGCTAACAACTTTTCATGGTCACCTGTGCTTTGTAAGGATGCCTGCCTTCTTAATTCCTCACCAAAATCAAATGTTATCTCCTTAAATTTTGCCAATTCCATTGCTTTAAAATATCTCCTTGTCATAATTTGTAATGACTTGATTTCTAGTGAAATAAATCATTTTTTATATTTATTATCCATTTACCTTGTTCTCCCATATATTTCCTATTTACCCATTTTTTTTTCTCTTAGATTGTCTTTTTTGTTAGATTATAAGAATTCTATATATGGCTCATTTTTTATTATAGATATTGAGGATATTATTTTCTAGATTGCTATTTATCTTTTGATTTCATTTATGAGCCTGTCTTTCATTGTAATAGGTTTTAACATTGCCAAATCTATCAATCTTTTTTTTTGTTTATATAACTTTTGCATTTTGAGTCTTGTTTAAGAAGTCATTCCCAAACTCAAGTGTTCTTCCAAATACTTTTCTTGAAATAAAACAAGATTTTTGGTTTATCACCACTAACCTATTTATGTCTTTAAAAATAAAAATAAGGTTGATTGTAGACTAATTTCACATACCCAGGTTACCGTTTCACATTCCTGTCTTTTTCTTTCTTGTGAATTAGGAATCTGACTTGGCCTCCACCAATGCATACTGATCTGGAGAGGAAGATAAATTTTAATTATCTCAAGTATGTCAACTTCCCTTTCCACCTAGGCCTCCTTCCCTTCAGAATCATGTAGAATGCTTCATACGTAGAAGACAACAGCAGAGGGAGGTGTCATAGGAGGAAGTCCAAGTAACTCCGCATAAGAAAACAAAACTTTTATCAAGCCTGGTTGACTATTGTTGAAATAAGGAATGCTTTTAAATGGAATAAGTTGAAAGGACCAATCAATTGTTTGAACTGAGTCAGCAGTGTGGAAAGAGTTGGCCTTAGCCAGGGATCTTATTTCAAAACACGAGGTGTCTATGAGCATGTATAAAAGCCTGTGTAGGAAGTGCCTCAAACAGAGGATCTCTAGTGATTGCTTAGATGTAGATTCCTCCCTTCCCTGCTCAGAGATCATGACCCAGGCCTGGCAGGTGGAGTCTCTGTCACTGATATGCAGCAGATATGCATTTGGCAATTTGGGATGAGGTATTGAACAAAAGAAACTGAGACAGGCAATTTTAATTACGTAAGTACATATGTGTGTTTTTATAGAGGCTTATTATAATGCTGTGGCTTCAAATTGGAAAAAGGAAGGAAAGGAAAAAGGTCACCTAATCTCTTTTACTTTGTGGAGGGGGAGGTGGCTCCACAGAGCAACAAAAAGAGGAAAAGATAAGACTATTTTAGGCTGAGAAGTGTAAAACTAAAGGATAATAAAACGGGAGCTAATGCAGTTTAAAGGCTGCTCATTACCTGGCCTGAGATACGGCAGCCATTGTTGCTAGTGGTTAGAGATTATTTCTCAGCCTGCGGTGGGCTGATAACAGACTCATCCACTGGCCTGAAGGCTCATTGTTCTGCAGGCAGACACGGTGCCTCAGACAGAAGCAAAGTTGATTTCAGCCACAGCCATGTTGCTTTGGCCTTTTCTCTCCCTTCAGTGGGATTAAAAAAAAAAAAATCAAGAATTTACATCACCTGATAGGTGCTCTGGGACCTTTTCAAGCCTCCCCTTTAAGATTCCCACGACTTAATTTGAATCAGGATGATTCTGAAAATAAAATGCTGAAGTTTTCTTTTCCTTGAGAACAATGTCACATTAGTCAACTTAAAAAGACTTGCTCACAGCACAAATTGTCTGTACAACTCCTTTGCCCCTTAATTATATTCCACCTTGTTTTATTATTTAAAGGCATCATATGAGTTAAGTGTTTACATTATATATATATATATATATACATATATATATATATATGTATATATATAGATATATAAAACGTTAGAGTCGGAAGTGAATTTAAAGATGTAGTTTAATTCTCTTCTTTAATAGGCTGGCACACTGAAGCCCAGAAAGCCATGGAGAGTATGATCATCAGAGAATAATGAGGGGCGAGATGAACTTTCTCTTCCCTCTCCCCCAGGCAACACTGTGAGAAAGGGGTTTCTGGGTCAGGTGGAAAGGGAGCCAAGTACTACAAAAACTGTGGAGATCACAACCTCTCTAAAATCATAATAATCTTCTATGCAGCTAAATGAGAATCAACGATTCTAAACTCAAAGTTCAGACTCTTCCACCCATTGTTCGACCTGCTTCTAAAGGCAGGAGTGCTGACAACTTCAGAACAACGTATTTGGTTTCGAGTTGCTTGCCAAGGTCGAGTAAATAAATTCCAGGAGCCAAGTGGCATCTCTCTACTTTGACTGTGACAGTGGGCCCTAGACAAAGGCTTTCCCAGACCATGTGGTCACTAAGGATTTTGCACAGGCTTCAGACAAGCGTGGGCTTCAGACAAAGGCATTCCTGGACTGTCTAGTCAGCAAGACTTCTGCGTTTAACATTTCTGAATTCCTACCTCACCTGGGAGCCAGTCAGGAACTGGCACAAGGCTGCATGTCCTAATAAGGAACCTTAGCTGCTAACCCGGAAACCTCAGGGTATATAGCCCTGAGTCCCGCCCGGGTCGGGGCTCAGCCTCTGCATGTGAATCCGCTGAGCCAGTGCCGGCATTAGTAAAAGTTGCTTCCCACGCTTTGGTGTCCTGTCTCTTTGTCTGACCTCTGCAACATGACCTCCGCACTCAAACTTATATTTTTTACATAATTAGCTATTATGTATTATTTTATATAATATTATGTATTATTTTACATCATTAGCTATTGCTCCAAAGAACAAAGCATACCTTCAACTAGACAAAACTAATCTCCCCATTTGGCCTCTCAGCCTAACTTCCCACTGTCTTGGCTTGGACCTTGCTCATTTAGTCAGTCCTCTTTAGTATTTAAACTGGTCACTTTCTTTTGGCTCTTTTTAGTCAACCTGTATAGATGCCCAATACTTTCCTCTCATTAAAATCAACTCCGCAAATTGCAAATCCTCCTTTCACCAAAGTATGAGTACATGCTCGCCTTCCCTCCACAGTCAAACTAAAGAATGTACAACTTCTATCTCTACTCTCCTTCCTTCTATCCTTCACACCTTTGCAACAGGCTTCTCACCTTATCACTCCATTTAAACTGCTTTGGCTAACGTGAGTAGTCTGTTACATAAATACCGTGGATTTTCTTCAGTCTTGCCTTCACTTGATCTCTCCATAGAAAGATCCAGGACACCAGGGACCACTCCATCATCAGCATCATCTAAACCCCTGACTTCTGACATAGTCTTTTCTCTTGATTTCAACATCATTACTTTTTCTTGGTTCTCCTATTTTCCAGAATTCTCCTTCCTGTTAGTTCTTTATATTGACTCCTTTTCCTTTGCTCATCTCAGGGTTATTGACTCCTATGGCTCTGTCCTCAATCTTTTTGTTTTCTTGCCCCTTGAAACTCTCCTGATGTTTCAACTACCACCTAGGGTATAGATCAGAATAAGATAACCTTGACTATAAGACAAGCCTACAGTTTTCAAATGAATCAACATAGAATTTTGACAATTTTTAGGAATGTAGATGAAATAATCAAATATTGATATATTCATACTTAATTATGTAACTTAAGTGAATATACACATTGAAAATAAGAACATTAGGTTATATCTGCTGGTGCTG